TAAAAGTGAATGGGTGAGAAGTTTTCTTAAGACTGTTTAAAAGAAAAACATTTGAAATTAAAATAGTAACTAGGTTCTTAATAGGTTTTTTTATTACTAGAAAATTAATAAATGTCCTTGTTCCATTTAAAATCGCCACATTTTAAAAATCAACTAAAATAGTGTTTCTTAAAATGTAAACATAACCTATTCATGAGGTCTGACCAACATTTTTACTTAATGAAAGTACCTCACACCTTTTAAGGGTAAGAATATTTTGTAAAATTCTTGTCTCAGTTGTGTGTGAATGTGAGTTGCAGAAATGATGTAATTTTATGTCTGTGTGTCACAATGGAACATATGAAAGTCACTCCTCTAAGCCTTTATTTAGGAAGTAGTCAAACATATAGGAGGATTTTTAGGAGGTCAAAAATGAGTTCCTGTAGTTCTCCAGTTGCCAAGTTGCAAGAGAACCATCAGGGAGAGGAGTGGGGGAAAAAATGTCCCAGCTGCATTCAAGGGAGGAACTTTGTCACAAAGAAATGCAGCAAGATCCTGATCATTACACACAGGAGCTAAGGAAGCAAGAGGGCCAGCTGACGTATGACAAGACTGAGTTACTGCCTCTACATGAGAGCCACTCACAAATGACCCCACAGTTCTGAGTGATGAGTGAATGAGCCAAAGAGGCAAGGATCCACTTGGTTTTTCAGCGGGGATCTCAAAGGAAAGTCAGATTTTCTCCAACCTCTCCTGATCACCTCCCAACCTTTCCTTCTTTAGCCCATGAAAGTGCTGCAAAGTATTAAGTACTGTAGAAATGGCACGCTATATTTTTTCATAGCAGACACTGGCTGTGTCGGCACCCGGCCTGGAGGTTCCCAATGCCTCTCCAAACAGCTGCTGTTCCAAATGCAGCTAATAACCATTTAGTGCTGCCTCACAGAGAGAACAACCTGCTGCAAGATGACAGTACATATAATCTTATTCAATTCCATATCCATTTACCATACAATGCCATTCAAAGAAACAAATCTTTAGTTTAAGTTAAAAAAATTGAATTCAATTAAATATCACATAGGATTAATTACTGGATAGACAACACATATCTTCCCTATTATGAATGATAGTTAAAAATTAATTAATGTAATCCATAATATCAATCAATTAAAAAAGAAAAATCATGTGATAATCTTAATAAATTCATGAGAATACTTGAAAAAAATTAATATTTATTCATGATTTAAAAAATTTCCCCTAAACTATGAATAAAAGTAATTTTCCTCTATTGATGACAAGCATCTCCAAAAAACTAAATAAGATCATACTTAATGGTAAAAGAGTGAAGACATTCCTTCTAGGACCAGGAAAAAAGCAAGGAACTTCACTCTCATCACTCCTAGTCATCCTATTGACAGTCCTAGCTAGTGCAAATAGGCAAGAGAAAGAAATAAAATACATAGAGAACAGAGTAGAAGATGTAAAATTGTTTGTATTCACAGAATATTGTAGATGTAAAAATGTCAAAAAATCTGAAAAACTCTACTAAAACTAATATAAGTTATTTTGGCAGGCTTGCAGGAAATATGGTGAATATATAAAATTAATTTTTCATATACTAGCAATTAACATTTAGAAATTGAGATATTAAAAATACCATTCACAATTGCATCCAAAAGCATGCAATACTTAGAGATAAAGTCAATGAATAATGTATAAGACCTGTTTGCTGATAACTACAAACCACCAGTAAGAGTAATTGAAGAAAAACTCAATAAATGGGAAAACATACTATGTTCATGAATCAAAGGGTCTATTGTTAACATGACTATTCTTTCTAAATTAATCTACTATATATATTCAACTCACCTAATCAAAATCTCTGCATGTGCTTTGTAAAACTTGTCAAACTGATTCTAAAATTAAAATGGAAATGCAAAGGATATAAAATACCAAAATCAGTTTTGAAAAAGAACAAAGTTGGAGGGGTCACAAGAGCTAATTTTAATACTTTTTTACAAAGCTACAATAATCAAGAAACTGAACATAGACCTGAATGTAAAAACTTAAATGTTAAAATTTTTATAAGAAAATATTTATGACCTTCAGATAAAGCCTTCTCAATTAAGACACAAAACAATGAATCATGATAACAATAAAAAAGATAAAATAGACTTCATAAAATTTTAATCTTCAAAAGACACCTTCAAGAAACAAAATGGCAATCTATAGGAGAAAATAGTCATAATATACACATCTGATGGGCTCATATTCAGAATACATAAAGAATTCTTAAATTCAGCCATGAGAAGATAACACAATTTTTAACACGTGCAAAAGATCTGTTACTTTAAAAAGGAAGGTACACAAATATCCAATATGCACATGTACAAATAATTGAACATCATTAGTTATCAGGGAAATGCAAATTAAAAACCACAATGAAATGCTACTACTATATAATCACTTGAACAGCTAACATTTTTAGAAAACTGGTTATACCAAGAGTTGACAAGAATAAGGGCCAACTGGAACTATCATACATTTCTGTTGGAGATGTAAAATATCAATTTGAAACTTTTGGGGAAATTATATTTATAAAGTTATATATCACGTAATGCTGTAATGCTACTCTTAGCTTATTTTCTCAAGAAAAATGAAAACATCTATCTAAAGACTTGCACATGAATTTTCATAGAAGTTTATTTATTGTTAATAAAAGTCTGAAAATTGATATAACCTGTCTGCTCATCAGTGAGTGGATAAAACAAAAAACCAAACAACAACTGTAGTATATTCAAACAACGGGATATTACCCAGAGATAAAAAGAAACAAGTTACTGATATACCCAATGACAAGAATAAATCTCAAAAAAACACACTGAGTGAAAGGAACCAAATGCAAAATAGGTACTATATGAATTCTTTTATACGAAACTTTAGGAAAAAATAAATCTACTGACACAGATGGAAAATAGATCAGTCATCTAGCTTTAATAAAAGTGAGGACTAAAAGATCATTTTGAGGCAACAGAACTGCGGTAGAGGGTGTACATATGTATCAAAATTCACCATATCGTCCACTTAAAATGTGTGTGTTTCATTTTATATAACCTCAATAAACTTGTTTTTTTAAAAAAAAAGAAAGAAAGAAAGAAAGGAAGAAAGGAAGGAAGGAAGGAAGGAAGGAAGGAAGGAAGGAAGGAAGGAAGGAAGGAAGGAAGGAAGGAAAGAAGGAAGGAAGAAAGAAAAAGAAAAGAAAGAAAGACTAGTTCCTGGCTCTACCTGAGAGAAGTATATAGGTTTCTCAGTAGTAAGGCCGAGTTTTTGTTGGGCTGGGAAGAACTTCATACCAGATGTTGTAAGTACCTTTAATTTGCCCAACTGCGCATGAACCATTTTGTCCTACAAACCCTTTTATTGCAGTGTAAGCACTGTCTTACGCCCCAACCAAGTGGCAGAATGTGGTGCTCCAGGTAATTCATTGTTTGGAAGGCATATTTAAGAGACCACAACCACAGACTAATGAGGAGACGTCCCTTCCCCTACTTAATCTTTTGGATCTTGGTGGTGGGTTACACAAACATCAAACATAGGGAGCCTTCACTTTAGGGTGTCTATGTCCCACAGGTAACCAGGGGTAAATGTAAAGAAAAAAAAGGGTCCAGAATAGATGCCAGATCACCACCAAACTAAGGACTCTATGGAATCTGAGAGAGAGTAAGTGTAGTCCAAAAAGCAAGATTGTAAGTAGCTCTGAGGGATGAAATGTGCCAAGTAAGACTTCAGCAGTTGAAATATATAGGTAATACCTCACATCACAGTTTTTCTCAAAAACCTGGACAAGTCAGTGGTGGTACATTAAAGGATTTTAAGAATTCTGGAGATGAATTGGAATGGTAAACCAAACATGATAGTACATAACATGATCGTTTCTTCTCTAGTTCTCTCAATTTTTCTGATTATGTATCAAAAAGCCTCTTTTTGTATTAGTATGCCTTTGACACCTCTTCGTTCCCCCTTTTACACAACAAGGAAATACAAAATACTTAACAGTAATGGAGAAATATGTTTAATTTTTTCTGTAGTTATCTATTTATGACAAGTAAACTGGCTTTTCATTTGTGGTAGTGATTCCAAGGTTCTGAATAAAATAAATATTTTTCAGTAATAAAAGGGGCAAGAGCCAATTTATTTTTAAAATAGGTAAAAAATATTATAATGGAATATTGACATGGATATATACCTTAAATTGGATAAAAGTACCTTAAAATGTTAATTTATAATAAAGAGTATATGTCTGTGTATAGATACTGACAGATCAATAGGCACTGAATTATTAATAAATATTGAAAAAGAGTCACTAACCTGATGTTTTCATGTTATTAGTTTTTAGTTTGAATTACCTGCCCTTTAATATCTCCTGGAGTTTCAGATTCCAGATTGCTGACAAAAAGTGAGATTAAGATATTCAGCATCTTATAAATTGGGATAAAACACCATGAAATTGGGGAAAGGCAGAAATATATCTGAACAATAATATCTTTCTGCTAATGAATGTTCTCATGTGAATGTGGGCATATAAGGAAGCTATGCAGAAGGTACCCATAAAAAAAATAAAAAAGATTCTGTCCCCATAAAAGTTGTAAATCTCTAATTTTTTTTAGTTTTGCTCGTTTTTTTTTTCTTTGCCTGGTATACACTAGTATGTCTTTCTTTTAAAAGAAGTCATAAAAATTTACATTTGCTTTAGGTCCATTAATCACTTCCAAAAATGCAATTAACATGGACAAATGTTAGCAAAATTATAATGCTGTTATCAAGGTTTTGACAGTCTTGCACAATTTTAAAAAGTTAACCTCAGCTAGGCTTTAGAGAATTTTACCAGTCCAAAGGGGGAAAAAGAGAAAGAGAGAGAACTGTAAAACAGATTGTATTTAAAGGAACATAAAGCAGGTTGATTTCTACCATGTGTATGATTTCCCAAGAGTATTTGGACTGAACAAAGATAAACCTCTTACCTGTTGGAAGGTGCAGTGTTATGTTGTTGCAGAAATCTGTGAAGCAGCATTCAGTTCTGGTAACATTGTTGGAACTATGACAGAAGACTTGAGCATTTAATTCTGGGAGAGACACACAGGACTTGATCACCTGTTCTTTTCCATTGGTTAGCATAACTGAAGCCCAACATGCTCCTTCAGTTTGGCAGGTAAAGTTTGAAGAGTCACACAAAAGACATACACACTTCAGTCCTGAAAAGCGTAAGGCAAAAACCCTTTAAGATACAAAAATCTTCATTATGCAAATTTGTTTTATAACACTTAAGTGTAGAAATTCAATCTTAATGAAAATTGAGGGAGGGATTAAATAAACAACACTGGATAAACACATGCTAAATACATTAACTCCCTCTCAGTCATCTGTTTTGTTAATCATCATTTACTTTGCTTGTATTTTTGTGAACTTACTGCTACCATATTTTAAAACAACTTTTTCATCCATGGTCTAAATCCCTCCTCCTCAAGTTCAATCAGCTCATTCCCAAATCAATAGCTCCTATGGAACACTAGAATACAGTAACACAGCTACAGAGGGGGACTGTCTGGCATCGCGTGTAGAACATTGAAGTGTGATTACAGCTGCTGTGTAACCAAACAATCCAGTTCATTCCGTTCATTTTCTCTTACTCCTTTAATCCTTTAAGTGAATGTGCTAAACACAAACCTAACCATTGATATTCACAGCTCTAAAAAAAAATTGTGATTCTTTACATGTCTATTCTATGCTACTTAACATTACTGTTATGGCCCTAATACCGATGAGCCATTACATTTCCCCCTCTTCACTAAAGAACACATATTAGAAAGAGAGTCATTTTAACATAGATAATGACCCTCAGGCAATTTTCTTTAATGAACACATCTATTCAATAAAGCAAAACACATCAATTGTAGAATTTCATATATCTACTGCGATAAAACTTTCAAAAACTAGACTTTGTTAACTTAATTTGTTTGCTTCACAAGTCTCCTCCACACTCCCCACTGCACACACACACACACACACACACATACACACACACACACGACATTATTTCACACATTCTAAGTGGTGCAGTAATTCTGTTTTGATGTAAAATATCTCTCAGCCAGAAAAGTCCAAAGATTGTAATTTATTTAAATTTTATTTAATCACATTGTTTTAAAATAGTACAATCTGAATAAGCATTTTGTATTTTTACTTGAATAAACTTTTTCTTAAATTGTAACTGTCCCCTCTGCAATTATCTGGGTATCCAAAGTTTTACCATGCCATAATTTTCATTCAAATGACAATCTAAATTACTAGTCAATTTGGAGCTGATTTGATACCTACAAAATATTTTATACATAAATAGCAGTTAATATACTCAACTTCAAATACCAATGTAAGAACAAATATGGGTAACATTTCTAAATAAGTGAGTGATTAAGAAAGGAAAAATACATATTAATAAAAATTATCTGCTGATAATTTTTCTTGTATTTTTTTAAAAGATGTTATTTATTTTTGGAGAGGGGAAAAGAGGGAAAAAAAGAGGGAGAGAAACATCAATGTGTGGTTGTATTTCGCGCACCCCCTGCTGAGGACTTGGCCTACAACCCAGGCATGTGCCCTACACTGGGAATAGAACCAGCGACTCTTTGGTTCACAGGCCGGCGCTCAGTCCACTGAGCCATGCCAGCAAGGGCAAGATAATTTTTCTTGACTACTAAAATATCATCCCCATAAACATTTTCATTCTTACATGCTAAGAGAAATATAATTATAAAATGAAATACAATTTTGCTATCAACAATGGACCAAGCATGATGGCTCATCCTGCTATTTATTCTAATGGTGATCAATATCAATCTATTCTGTTGTTGATATTTATGTGCAATGATAGAACTTTATAGTGTGGATTGATTGGGAGTCAGTAGAAGTAGGTAAATAAAATCTAGGTGATTTGCATTTTAAGTCACTTTCCTTGCATAAAAGTGAGCTCATACAATGGACATCCATCCACCCAGGAGTCTTTTGAAAGTGAAATCTCTCTAATATCTTCCAATTCCAACCAGACTAAGGCCATCCAATCTAGTTATACTAGCTTTGTAATCTTGGGCATTACTGGCCCTTCTGTGCCTCCATTTCCTTATATGAAATATAGGAAAAATATACCTCTTCATAGTGTTGTGATAAAAAAAAAATTAACCTACATTGTTACAAAGAATAAATTAATCGATGTAAAATCCTTAGAACAGTGTCTGGTACATAGAGAGTGCTATGTAAATATAAGTGACTATGCCTTTTCCTACTGGAAGAGAAAAGCTTGTTGTCCTATGCAAAGAATCAAAATATATTTGTAATCCACAAAGGAATGGCTAAATAAACTAGGGTGCACAGATCATTTAAAAGGCATAACAAGGGAATACATCTCTTTTTGCTCTGCCCAGTGAGTTTAATTCTGTCATTCTTTTAATTGTTCATGCCAGAACCTAGAGAGACAGTCCCACATTAGGGTAGTGTCTGGTGATAGTCCAGATAAAAGTCTAGGGAAAGACGAAGACCCCAGGCCCAGATCTGTCTCTTAATCTCTGATTGACTCTGGAGATGCTTAACCTTGCGGTCTCTCCTTGCCCTCCCCTGAAAATGAGAAATGGGAGAGGGGAAGTGGATCCAGACATCTTGAAGTCACACATGGTCCCAACATTTTATGACTTATGAATTTACAATTTATGGATTTGACAATTACAAAATACAGAAAACCCTTTGATATAAAGAAACTGACTCTGCTGTGATTATGCTTTCATTTCATATTTTAAGGGGCTGAAGTTGGGAAGAATAAGTCTTCTGACACACAGTCTCAGTTCATTTGTTACTACTCATCAGAGTCTCCTGCAATTTTCTATTTCCAAGAGAAGCCTAGCCTGGAAACCAAGGCAACGAAGGAATATGGACTCACTGAATGACTACAACAGTAAAGTACTCAACACCCAAATGTAAGTTAGTTTTTCAGGTGTTTATCATTGTGTATAATTCCCAGTGCAACTGAGAGTTACCTGTTAATATCTCCATCTTATAGATAATGAAATGAACCTCAAAAAGGTCAAGTGACTGAATTAATGTGGTCATTAGGCTACTCAAGCAATGTTGCTTCTATTTTACCAAAGTTAACATTTTTTAAATGGGGACAGGAACCATTCTCCCACCTCATTAGTTTCTAGAAATTGTGAATAAAATGTAATTCTAAAACAGCAGAAAGAAATAATCAACTAACAATTGAGATTTTGATCTGTATTGTCCTAATTATCTTTTGAAACATTTGATATTTTTTAAACAAATGCTACCTACCTATTTTCTGAGGAGACAGACAATCCAATAAAAGTCAAGAGCCTGTGCCTTGCATCAAGCATAAATAACCTTATCTTTCAGGTTATCTGAATTTTGTCTTAAGTGTAGGCTCCTAAGTACCTAACCTGATACATTCTCTTTGAAGCAATATTAGCTCCTTATAAAAATGATTGCATACTAGTTCTCATCAAGCAATAATACGGACACTTACTGACTGTTCAACAGGCTATAAAATTGCCTTCAGTTTAAAGTAAAAGGTATTAATCAGAAGAAGAATATAGACCTAGGTAATTTAGTTAAGACATAGTAAATGACAGCTTATTTTAAATGTTGCACAGTGAAAAACACTGACAAAATTGAGAATTTGTTGATGATTATCAAACATCTCCTAAATGTTTTCATTTATTCCAGGTCAATTGACAGTACTATAGCACTGACAGAACAAAGAGCAAATTAAAGGAGCCTAAAGTATATATCTAACATAGAGCATATTCAATCTTGCCTTTTTCAATTCCCACCAATCCACTATATGGTCACATTTGGTATATAATTAAACCATATTTATGTCAACCATCCTCAACACAGAACCCTTGTGTTGCCAATTAAAACATAAGTTGCCATTAGTGATTAGACTTATGCTTTCATAGTTTGTTTTTTTTTTTAATCTGCTGTTAAATTAGTCAATTATACCAGAATATTCCATGACAGGATAAATCTGGTTGCTAGCAGACTAGTCCAGCCTTATGTCTCTTTATTTTATACATTCCTGTTATACTCTACTTGAGTCATATGGAAAGAGATAGCAAATGAAGTTGAAGAAGGAGGTAATTACCCGTAATAAGGAGATCTATTAGATTTTTCCCCACAAAGAAGATTGCACTTTCCCTGTGTCTCCTCCCACCCCTTTAATTATCCCCTTTCCGCCATTTTGCCAATTAGTCTGTAAAAGCCAAGACATCTGTTACCCACAAGACATCTGTTACCCACATGAAACCAAGGGATGTGCATATTCCTAATCAACCAGAAAATAACTTTTCATACATATTTACAGGTGATGGCAAGCACATTCTGGTGTCCAGAAATGTAAAAACTATCAGACTGCAAAAAAAGAACCAAATTTATTGATTTGCATTTACATGTTATTCTTATTAAAAGTCAAATATTTGCTTGAGAAATATTTGTTTCAATTAGATATGATGTGCAATAAATTGGTTTTATATTTCCTAGTTTTCTCCATTTGGGGTCTATTTGATAAAATATCTATTGCCCAGGGTGTTACATAAATTTCTAACATATAGCCTTTTCCTCTTTTCCATCAGTTGAATCAACTTCCCTAATTTTAGAGCAAGTTAGTAAATACAAAATATTTTTTAATTTCAGAAAATTCTCAAATTTGACCAGCTAAGCATGCAATTTTCATCATTTGCAGGCTTCTAAACTAACAAAACGAATGATTCAAATTCATCAGTGTGCTGAATCTGAAAAGTATGGCAATAGGAAAGAAGCTGGACAACTAGTACTTCTGGATGTGAGGCAAAGCCAGCCAATTTCAAAATCTGCAGGCTGGAGACCCAGGGAAGAGTTGATGTTGCAACTCAAGTCTGAAGAGAGTTTGGAGTAGGAATTCCCTCTTCTTCAGGGGACCTCAGTTTGTTTTCCTCTTAAGGCCCTAAACTGATTTGATGAGGCCCACCCAATTATGGAGTATAATCTGCTTTACTCAACGACTAGGGATTTAAATGTTAATCTAATCCTGAAAATGACTTCGCAGATATATCCACACTGGTGTCTGGCTACTATGGCCAAGTTGGCACATAAAATTAACCACCACAAGTATTGACTTCATGTCAAATACTATGGTAAGAGATAAGGAAGGG